GCAAAGTATTGCCGTGCTGCTTGGGAACGGAGGTGATGACATCTTACCATCGTGTTTCCAACGCTTGTTTAATTTATTTCTCTTCTGGGACGCGTGAAAGAGCACTTCTGTGACACACCAGAGATATTCGAAACTTGGGCTGGCCTCTCGGCTTTCTTTGCCACTTTTGGCACTTATTTGGCATTTCAGTGGGTAGCCAGAGAAAAGCCAAACTTCGGCATGCCCCGAATCGACAAATTAAGATTTACTGCGGCAGTTATGGCTCAAGTCTGGCACTTACTTTGGCGCTCCTCTGGCAGACCAGAGAAACGCCAAACTTTGGCACGTCCCAAATACCGAAATTAGGCGTTACTCTGGCAGCTATGGCTGAAGTATGGCACCAACTTTGGCGCTCCTCTGGCGGACCCGAGAAAAGCCAAACCTTGGCACGTCCCAAATACCGAAATTAGGCGTTACTATGGCAGCTATGGCTCAAGTCTGGCACCAACTTTGGCGCTCCTCTGGCGGACCAGAGAAACGCCAAACCTTGGCACGTCCCAAATACCGAAATTAGGCGTTGCTCTGGCAGTTGTGGTTGAAGTATGGCACCAACTTTGGCGCTCCTCTGGCGGACCAGAGAAACGCCAAACCTTGGCATGCCCCGCATTCCCAGATTAGGATTTACTATGGCAGTTATGGCTCAAGTATGGCACCAACTTTGGCACTCCTCTGGCGTACCAGAGAAGAGCCAAACTTTGGCATGCCCTAGTATCGCCCAACTAAGGCTATAGTTAGGCACCGTACTTTGGCACTGATGAGTGCCATGGTGCAAAAACCTAACTGCACCAAAGTTGGGCCCTTATGTTTGCCAGACCTTTGCCCAAGTTGGGCATTCCTCTGGCGTGCTACCTGGGACAAGGGAGACAGGATAGAGAGCTCTATACCAGTGGTGGCCAAGCTGCGGTTCGCGAGCCAATGCGGCTCTTTGCGTGTTAAAGTGCGGCTCGTGGCTCCCTCCGCTACCCTCCCCCCCCCCCCCCACACACACACACACACCCGCCTCCCTCCAGGTCACACGAGCACTTCCCCAAAAAGAGAAATGGAACGCGTTTTAAATCGAATGACAGGTCGCGGTTTGGTAGTCTTGTGCTACTGCTATCTTACATACAGTTGGACTGCTTTTGACTCGAATAGATTGAAAATAGTTCGAATTTCTCTTTACTGCTGTGAAAATCCCCCCCCCCCCCCCCCCTCTATTTCTGCTTATCCTCCTCCATGCGGCTCTTGGACGGTTTCGTGGTTTTGTTTGCGGCTCTTAGGCCGGGTCAACCTGGCCACCCCTGCTCTATACAGTCTCTACGTTCTTCCTCACTTGTCTTTGCACGAATTTTACCAACATGTATAACCACCTAGCCCACCAGACGATTTTAATAGAGTTTCAGACGTCCTTCTTTCTGGGTATCTTCCTTCGACTAAAAATTTTTCTTTGAGTACCGCAGTCTCGGACAACAAAAGATAAAGTGATTAATGACCACTAGCTCTCCCGCACGCGACCATTACCAAGCGAGTGCCCCACTAAATAAACCCGAAATAACAAAAACGTTAACGATATACTGCACTTCGTAAAGATAGTGTCTTTATAGTTTCTAGAATATCCCACTTGGAAGCAAAAATAAAAACTACCCCACCAGACGAAAAAAAAAATAAAAAAATAAAGTGCAGTTTTTTTTGTTTTTTTTTTGTTTCCCGTAAAAATACAATAACTTCCCGTTCCAGTGCCACCGATGCAAGATGGAACGCCGGCGTGCCTTCGCTTCTCCTAAAAGGAACGCGTTCCAGGAACGCCTTTCCGTACAACACTGACCAGAACGGCAGGGCGTATCTTTCCTATTCCCGGCCTCCAGCACGCGTTCTTTGCCTTCCGCCGTACATTGACGGTGCGTGGACGCTCGCAGCTCGCGAGACACCGAAGTGTTATGGAGATCATGGTCACTGACAGAATGAAAACGACGGGAAGGAGTTTCAGTTGTCCTGCGTCCAGCGCTGGCTTCCTTCCTTCGATAACGCAACGGCGTCTCGTGAGCTTGGACGTGGGGCAACTGAAGCACCTTGCGACCGTTCTCATGAACGGCCGGAAGGTCCTTCCGGCTAACTGAAAGACATTCCGCGGTAGATGACACTCACTTCGGTTCCTCTTCAAGGCGGCTATTCAGTATTAAAAACTCCTACGCTTCCTCCCCGTAAGGTACCTCCTTAATTGCCGTGCAAATCGGAGATTCGTCATTGGTTGAAATGTAAGAGCTTTGGCTAGGTGCCGCAAACCGCCATACGATTAAAACAATTCAGCCTTATCCGTCCATCTGCCCATCCATACTTATATTCATACTCCAGGTTAATCGCAACACTTTGACGGTGCTTTTGGACGTCGTTCCTAATAAATAAACCCAGCATAATTTTGCACTATCAGAATAATTAAACTGGAAATCTAACTGGAATTGTTTCCGGAAAACAGAAATCCAGATTGCAGAACAAAATACAATTTCTGAAAACCTTAAATTCACACAGAATCCAGATGGATTTCCAGTTCCTTTATCCAGATAATGAAAGCTTATACTGGGTTTTTCTGTAGGGACGTCGGTTCTCGTTTTCGCTTGTTTGTCTCTCTATTGGGTTTCTGCATTTGTCCCACCCAGAGTTGTAGGCGCTACCGAAAAAAAGTAACGAAATCGTTACTTGGTACTTGCAAAATAAAGGAACGCATTACCGACCGATGTTACGTCAATAGGGAATTGTAGTAGACCGTTTCCGCAGCCCGCTAAGCACCCGGATAGCGCTCCGTAATCCGCCACAAGACCTTGAACTATGCAGACAAGGCAGGGGGCGCGCATGCGCAGGTGCGGCGTTTTCTTCGGGGATACCGTAGCGGAGGAGAGAAACGATATACTACAACTCCCTAATATAAAAGGAACTCGTTACCGTTACCGATAAAAAGTAACGCATTTTACTTTTGTGTTAAGCGCGAAACAGATGTACGACGAAACCGTCCGATCCGACCTCCGATCAGGCAATACGACGGTCGGACGCGGCTTGTTTGGTCGTGTCGCAACGTCGGAACGGCGTTGCATTGTGCGACCGACTGTCCAAAGGTGGTTGCTGTGGTCGGATGGCCGCAGCCAATGACGACGCAGGTAGCGGGAACGTCATGAGGACGACAAATTTTGGGGAGCGGGCTATTCAAGAGCCAGGGATCCGGTTGTGAGTCCCTCTTCTTTTTCTTGGCATTTCCGGGAAGAGGAGGAGAGCCCACGCGCAGCTTTATTCAGCATTCAAAATGGGAGAGGGAACGGGTGCCTGTACTTTCCACTCCACTGCCAAGTAAAGTTGTCACCGCGATTGTAGGAAGTCAGGCAACACGCACTGGTCATGGAACTGGGCGGAGCCGATCGGAACTTCGGGAACTGCGCTCGGTCGGAAGCATATGTCTCGGATAACCGTTTGCGGCGAGTCGGAGCAGCGATCGGACGTCAGATCGGACGTCGGATCGTACGGTTTCGTCGCACATGTGTTTCGCGCTTTACTTGTTATTTATGCGTTGACGGTAACAGCGTATTTTTTTTTTGTTTTTTGGCGAGAGCGTTTTTTGACATTCGGACAAAGGGCGTGGGCCTTGGGGTTTTTCTAAAGTGGAACTTTTTCCGGGATTAAGAGAGGGGCAAGATACTGGAGGTATATGGAACGAGTGTAATAATTAATGACTCGTCACCGATACATCGTTTCAGCTTAAGTGCCGAAGCAGCCGATGCTACGAGCTAATGGGGCCACTTAAGAGGCGTCAAAAACGCAAGTCACTGGGTCTTTAATGTTTATGATTAGTTAAGTGATTATAGAACATGTACTGAAACATGACGAACACCATGAAGGTGCCCTATGGCCGCTGTCTGATTGGTTCCATCAATTCGTAGTGTCGGCTCCGTCTGGACTTTAGATAAAACAAAGTATAAAACAAAGCCGTTTACCACTCCTTGTAACGCCGAATCGGAGCGCAGCTCTTGAGAAGGAGGAGGGAAGGGTACTGGAGGGCCACGTGTTCTCGGGGGGGGGGGGGGGGGGTCACGTGACCTCTGAGGGGAGCACGTGACCTCGGGGTGTCACGTGACTCCCCAGGTCAACTGACCCCCCGGGTCACGTGACCAAAATTTTTCCGCTAGATTTAGCGGGGAAATTTTCCCGCTAGGTTTAGCGGGGAAATTTGCCCATAATGCACCGCGCGGTTACGCCGACGGCGACGCCGCTCAAGCCGGAAACGGGCGCCTAAGAGCTGTGTTGTAAAACACAAAGAAACTTTAACCCCCGAATTCATAGATGTGACTTCAACTGAAGCCGAGCTTCGACTTGCTCAAGTCCGCCTCAACACCAAGTTCGACTTGAAAACGCCCAAGCTGGCTTTTACGTTTCATAGACGCTCCCGCGAACTTCCTTCGTCAAGTCCCGTTCAAGTCGCGAGCGCTCGCGCTGCTCCCCGCCTGGGAGCGAGATTAGGTTGCAATTTTTCTTTTAAAAAGAGTTTCACACGTCAAAAAGAAGTTGCTTCTTAAAATTTTCTTCATGGCATGTCTTTACGAAACGCAAATCGTGAAAGATGCTGTTTCGCAGGTTTCGAAACTAACGTTGTACGCGTTTTCTAGACAAATGCGCTTTTCCGTCTAGCAACGTTGGCTCAATTTGAGCGATGGCTCCTGGCCTGTTTCTTTTCGTTTCGCTCGTTGGCGTCCCTCGCTTGTGGACATATTTGGCGTCATGTGAGTTTCGACGTCTCCTTCATTATGAAAACTCGGGAGAAGCTTGAACTAGGATTCACTGAAGACAAGAAACGAATGCTTATCTGGGTTCAACAAGAATGAAAAGGTATTCGAGTGAGTGGCCGACTCCGGTGCCGTGTCCACACGCCTCAACGAGAAAGTTTAAAATCCTAGTAGGATCTTCCTACGGGACTCTTATAACGAAAAAGCGCTTGTAACTCCCGATGCGGAAGGAAAATGATTACGAATTGAAGCGGTGCTCAAAGCAGGTAAGTGTTTTTACAACATTTCCTTAATGCAAACTATGCGGCGTAGTACTCGGATATGTAAACTGGAAACTATGCGGCCTGGCCTAAGCGCTCTTTCGGCTGTTTTAAACGTTATTTTGTGTTGCTTACATGTTTCTACAAAGGCTTATTTTAATGGGCGCCACTACATAAAGCGTTGGGCGCGGTGCCTGTGCTTTCGGTGATCGAAACCAGTAAGTAGCTACCGGGCATCATAGTTTTCGCAGCTATGTTTACCTCGACGGGCTTTCGCGGGCAAAAACTCAGGCCCGGAACATGTTGTTCATGAAGCGGTGGAACTGTCACTGATGTTTGGTGCGCAGAGGCAGTTTGTTCACCTTTTGTAATCAAGAAAGCTCTCTTTGAAACTGTAATTTTTTCTAATTTCTATTTGATCGTTTCGGCTGTAAATAGTCTCGACGCTGCCACTCTCTCATTTGTGACAGTCATGGATTGAAGTCAAACCATTTTATATGATTTTCAGAAGTCTCCTTCCTAAAGATAATGTCCAGGAGCAGGAGTAGCACCTTAGGAAATATTAGCTTTGTGGTTACATCTTGTATATTTCATATAAGTTCCTTACATAAACTTTTCTTTTTTTTTTAGGAAGGGGACTGCTTTTTCAGCCAGTGAATGCGGTCTGGGCTGGACATAATTTCCAGGCAAGTAAACGAGCATTGTCATGTTGTGCCCCCTGTCCACAGTGATGTGCCCCCCGTCTACAGTGAGTAAGTGTGCTGCTGCAGCCAACAGTGCACTGGTAGGAAGGGGAACCCTCTGTTGAGCAGGAGGAAGACGAAGTAACGAGGACACGAGTAAAGCGCTCAAGCTGTTGAATGCAGCTGCATGTATTCGGTGTCGTAAAAGGGCGCTTTAGGGCTTGGGCGAGTTCCTGTTAAATGTCTATTGAGCATTACAGGTCGGTACCCATTGTCTTCTCATAAATGAGTGACCATGATGCCTGGGAGCACCACATCAGTGTTAGCAATGCTGCAAGCGAGTGGACTAACAGCAGAAAGCATCTCTTCCCGCTGATGTGACTGCAGAAATTTGCTTTTATGGCCTACTGTCGTCTGAATGTGGAAGGCCGCTCATCGCTCTTTCACCTGTGCAACCATGTCTCAGAGCTGCAGTTGCTTCACTGATTGAAAAGTTGTGGCTGCCCAAGTCTGCATGCGACAAACTGTTCCAGAGATCGGTGTGGCATGTTTCAGTATGGCTAGACATTCTACCTGTTCATAAAAACGTATGCCAGACTGTTTCAAGACAACTGTGACACCCTGATCGTGTGTCGAGTTCAGCGACAACCATCAGTTCGTCACTGTACTCTTCAGTGCCGTGTTTATTTGGCTGCTCGAACATCTTTATCTACGGCAGTAAATGTTCGCACCACTGCAATTGTTAATAGGAAGTCATTTATGACCCTAGCCGTTTTTCTTATGACCATGGCCCTCCTCTCGTGTCCTCGTCACATTGTTTTTCTTCTGCACCACACATCTATGAAGCTTGTGACGCACTAGTTTGCATTCACAAGCTGACGACTCGCACAACGTCTAAACTTAGAAATATATAAGCACCCTGGGAAGGCTGTTTAGTGACTATGAAAATTTGCATAAACTTGAAAACCTGATGACTGAATTAAGGTGGTTGGTTGGGTGAGTTGGTAATGATTGAACATGGTTAAATTTGTGCACAAATAGAAAGGAACAGAGGAGAGAGAAGAGACAAGCACAAACTCACAATTCGATGTATTGAAGGAAGAAAAAAGGACAGCCTCCAGTAACAGCTCGAGCCGAGGCCGGAAGAAAAAAGAACAGCCTGCACTAACAGCTCGAGCCGAGGCCGGTGTGACCTCGGCTTGAGCTGTTTCTGCAGGCTGTGCTTGTCTCTTCTCTCTCCTCTGTTCCTTTCTACGTTATTTGTGCACAATTTTAAACTGACGACTGAAATGCACTCAATGTGGACCACTGGGAGATAATTTGTTCACCGGCACAGTTGTTTCCTAGATATAAGCACAAGCTTGCGCTCCTTCCATTTTCCTCAACTGCCAAATGTATGTGCAGCATTTGCTGTAGGCTATACGAGGTTGGTGAGGATGATTTTTTTTTATAATTTAGCATCCCAGCTCTCTGTAAACAAAACTTAGAGTCTTTCAGGGCTTTAGATGCGCAGTGCCACCTCCAGAAAATTATTTTGTGTTTGCCCGTCAGTGCCGCATGTTGGGATATGTATCTAAATAAGCAGCTCTGGTCTGTATGTTTGTTTGTCAAGAGCTTGAGCCATTCCCTTTTTGCAGGTTTTATGTCGGCAGTGTTTCATGATTACAAGACAAACAAGGAGGCTAATGCACAGGCTGCAGCCATTCAAATTCTTTTATTTCGGAAGTGGGACAGCAGTATTGAGGCTCATGCATTTCTGAGGGTGCAGCGAGTAATGAAACGGAAACAGAGGAAGCAATACGTTCCACCATAGTTTTAGCACAGGGTTCACATTAGTTCTAAAGACAATCAAGAAAAGAGAACGGGTGTTTTCATTGGGGAAAGAAACACGCAGGGCACAGCATTCACAAGACATGCCACTTAGGAATCAAGAATCAAAGAGAAAATAACTTGTAAAATAATGAAAAAAAAGCATGATCCCTTAATGATTTAGAAAATCACGAAAATGCAAACAAGACGAGGATGGAGGGAGGTGTACACATGAAATGGATGGTTGCTTTGCATACTCCAGCTTCATCTTTATCTTATTTCCACTGCTTCAGGTTTAGGTCATTATGCCCAAGCAAAGCATAAATCATATCATATTTATTTTCAATTTAGTCATAAACATCAGTTAGACAAAGCATTTCAGTTAGGGATTTTAAAATGACTGTTTGTGATTAATGAACTGTGGCTCACTATGTGCTCAAAAGTTTGAAAATGTGCACTCCGTGCAACATACGTATTATCCCCATTTCATTGGTGCCACGAGGAAGGGGGGTCCTATACAGTAGCACTCTGGCTTTAGTCTGCTTGTTTTTCTACCCCTTCAGGTGGCAGTTGCACTGATCTTCTCAACATTGCCCCCTGGCTCGCATGACTGGCAGAGCAGCAAGGATGGCTCATTCTCCCTAGGTTATGTGATGCTGTGCACGGAGTGATAATTTCAACTACCCGACGAGTATGGTGCCTGGAGCAAGTCTTCGACTGGTGTGTTTAGCGTCCTTTGCTGCCCGTACATCAAAAGTGGTCCGAAAGTGGCAACAAATGACGTCACGGAAGCCGAAGTGTCACGCTGTTGCATGTTGCGATCCTGGCGGTTGGCCATTGAAACGTTAAAGAGCAGCTGCGAGTACCACGAGGCGAACGCGAGTGTCGCTGTCGTCACGGTGTCCCAACTACTGGATGCTGAAGCTTCAGTGGACTGTCGAACTGTAGAGCGACCTGCAGTAGAACAGGCGTCTGCCACATCAACCACCGCTGCTGGGACACCGCCAGGATTGCGACCGGCGACATCATGACACTTGTATGATGCACCGGGCAGAAATTGAGGGATTACTTCTTTGGACACAGTAGACACACCAGTCGGAGATGCATTCCAGGCACCATACCTATCTATACAGTACCACCCTGGCTTCAGTCTGCTTGTTTTTCTTCCCCTTTTAGCTAGCAGTTGCACTGATCTTCTCAACATTATCCCCTGGCTGGTATGACTGGCAGAGCAGCAAGGATTGCTCGTTTTCCCTAGGTTACGTGATGCTGCGCACGGAGTGATGATTTCAACTACCCAGCGAGGCATGGGGATCGTCTTTTTCTTTCAGCAGTGTTGCGAGTCTTTATCTGGGTGGTGTTGTACCTGAATGAGTTACTAAATGTTACGAGTCAGAGAGACAATATATGATGTTTTCAAGAATTTGGCAAATTATCATTCCAACATCTTCATTATGGAGGTTGCATGCAGATAATATGTGCATGGGTGTGAAGTTTAGTGTGAGTGAACGATCATAAAAAAGGTCAACTCATTTTGTCTTGCCTTTATTGCACTGGGAGAATTGTGATGTATTTTTTCTTTCACGAGGCAATAATATTTTGATTGTGGAGTGGACACAAAAGTGTTGTGCCCTCGAATCGAGCTTGGTGCAAACCTGTGCATAGTAATAAATCTTTTGAAGCAAAAAAAAATTAAACCGGTGGCTATTGTTTCATTAGATATTGTTTCGGGGAGAGTTGGTAAGCACTCCTTAGCACAGTGCTAAACAATGCTTTCGGCACATCCATTTGTGAAATGTTGCAGAAATCTTAGGAAAAGAAGGTATGCTTTCTTTCAGCAATGCCCTTCTTCGACAAACTTCATGTAAGATGTAAATCGAGAAGTATGTTTTGTGGTGAACAGCTAGTGCACAAATACAGTAATAAAACACGTCAAAACTTGTTGGAACAAAAAATTGGTGAAGTGTGTGGCATCTGTAAAATGTAGAATCTGTACATGGGGGGGGGGGGGGGGGGGGAGGGGGAGGAATCGGAGTGAGTTTTCAGCAGCTATGTATGACCAATCTTGTTCTAAGCAGCCATTTGACAATTCAGAGATAACTTGAGAACTTGAAATGCATGGTAGTACCAAACTAGAAGGCATTCCTGATTTTCCATATTGATTTTACTGACGCAAGTGGCAAGTTCATACTACACGTCATTTTTTAAACAAGTAATCCAGCACAAACAAGACAAAAGTGAGAATAGCTACTACAATAAAGTGGAGATTTGGGCCAGTTGGTTCATTGCAAACAAAAAGCGCCGAATAAATGAAGGGACACAGACGAAGGGAAACAGGGCAAGGCGCCTTGTCCTGTTTCCCTTTGTCTGTGTCCCTGTATTTTTTCGGCGATTTTGTTTTTAAAAAAAACTGCTAGTATGCATACAGAGAACGTTAGGTCAAGAGCTTGCATCAGTAAACGTGCGTGCACACCGCACATGCTTGCTCAGGTTCTTTGCGCCAGAAGCTCTGGAGGCTTGTTTATTTTCGGTAAACGGGGGAACCTACCTGGGTAGTTTATGCAGGCAACTGCTCTTAAGTTCTCATAAATGTCTGCATAATCGCCACCGGGACCCGGGCTTTTGATACACGCGTGCGTGAACCCGGTTACTCGAAGGAGGCGGAGAATTTCGGGAGCGCCGGGGAAGTGGACGAGTCCGAGCGACAGATGCCTTACGGTGAGACGCGTCACTCTCCCGATTGCACCGCGCGCCGTCCATTGTGAAATGTTGACAGCTAGAAGCATCCTGCCAGCAAACGTCGCAGCGTGATGAGCAACTGTAGCTTGGGTATCAGCGGCAGCCGCCTGTTGTCGCCGTTCGGATCAGGCGGTCAAGTCGCGGCCGAGCAGCTCCCGCGCCGTTGCCGTTCGTTGTCGCACATCCCGGTGGGGTGCATTCGATCACGGAGGAATGGCCGCTTCTCTCGGCGAAAAATACCCGTGACCGAGGGCAACACGGCAATCACAGGACACAAATATTGAACGCGGCGATCCCATATGCGACATCACATCAGCAAGCCGCCATGTTGAAATGACTACGAAGTCGCGTTCAAGGTAGGTCCAACCCAGTCTTGAAATTTGGGCACTTCAAGTTCGCTTCAAGCTCCGTTCAAGATCGGTTCAAGTTAAGGCGCGTTTATGAAGCGCGCTTGCTCGTCGCAAGACGGACTTGAGCAAGTTGAAGCTCGACTTCAGAGCAAGTCACATCTATGAATTCGGGGGTAAGTGTACTTTTTTTAGGTCTAAGGAAGACGCTGTAACGAGTAACGCAACTATGTTACCCGTTAATTGGAATATGTAACGTAAGCACGTTACCCGTTACGCCTGACCCACAAGGACGGCTACACCGCCGACAGCCTCCCGTACGAGATCCGCCTGGAAGGGTGCAAGTTACTTATCGTGGCCCCCGGACGTGCACCGCTCTGTCTTCGCTGTCGCCGTACGGCACACATTCGCCACGATTATTCCGCCCCCAAAGCCACCGGTACGGGCATAAGGCAGAGGAGAAGACTGCGTCAAGACTTATGCCCCGATGGCCTGTGACCGCAAGACGGTCGAACAGACCGACTACATGATGGACGACGCCGAAACGGAGGAGGCTGTCGGTGCTCCCGCCCTGGTCGCACTACCGCTGTCCGAAGGCATCGGGTCAGCTGCCACAGAGGCTATCGGTCAACGGGTCTCGGTGGCTGAGCCAAGCGACTCCGAGCTTGTGCCCCAAGGTGCAGGAGCGAAGGGCGAGAAGACGGAAGAACCACCGGCTCAAGAGCGAGCGCGCACATTGAGCGCACCGAGGGACTGCGACGACGTCAAAGGTAGTCGTGACCCCAAGGCTCCCGTGCCGGAAGCGGACGTTGTGATGAGCTAGGTCGTCAAGAGACTACGAGACTCAACGTCCTCCCCGGGAGACGCTGCCGCAGGGAAAGACGGCAAGCAGCCGTGGCCCGAGATCAAAAAGAGCCGTGTTTTGGTCAAGCCTCGCGCCCCCCCCCCCCCCCCCCCCCCCCCCTCCCCTCCGACGGAACTCATGTGAGCCTCCTTCGGCGAAAAGGGAATGATGCATTTTGACACGGGCACGAGCGATCTTCACGACCCCATTCGATTCGCGGCATGAAACGTCCGTTGCTTCAACTCGCGGAATAAGACACTATCAGCTCCAACGGTTACTAGCTGAAGAAGAAATATATTTTTTCATCCTACAAGAAAAAACAAATGTCCTGACCGTGACATAGAACAAGCGCCACAAAATTTTCTTATTCGTTGCGAAATTTCCGTTAGTCATTTGGTTGGAATGTCGGCGGTTTTTTTCTATTTTTAAAAAGTCTGTACCATTGCGAAACTTGACCGTTGTGACAGACCAGCTAGTGTGGCCGTTTCATGTTGTGTGACTTCATTTTGTCTAATCATGACTGGCGGGTCATTTGCGTCTACGTGCCCAACAAAGTTAATGAAAGAAAAGTTTTTTGTTTTTAATTTTTGGAACAATATTTGCAAAGCTAGAAAGTTGTAGTAATCCTGGAAGACTTTAACTGTGTGCGCAGTCCGGAAGATAGCACATGGATCAGCGAACGCCGCGATAACAGCGCAAAAGTACTGACCCAAGCATTGAATCAACACTTTCTGGAAGATGTTGCACGCACGAGAGCAAGATGAGATAGACTCCAGTTTACTCATTTCCAACGGGCATCGCACTCACGCTAAGATCGCATCTACGTCACCACTGCGGTTATCAGCAGTGTAGCAGGTTACACGATAAAGTCACTTTTCTTTACTGATCGCTGCCTTCGGAGCGTGACGCTGGGTAAAAAGAGACAAGGAAGAAACCGTTTTAAGTGCCAGCTTTGCAAATTGATTAATAATTTGCTGAAGGATGGCAATTTCGCCGAAGCAGATATAGAAATATTGAACAGAATAATTGCGATGCCAGAGAAAGGTATTATCTAGAAAAGTTGGAATATTTTAAAAAGGACGTAAAGCAAGCTGCTGTCGAAAGGCCGTCTTATTTAAATCTTGAGGGGAACAGAGAAGAAAAAGAATGGCACAAGTATTGGCACGAACTTTTCAAAATTGAAAATGCTAATGCGGGCTCAGCGGGAGAGGAAATAAAGAGTGTAATAGCGAAACTAGAAGGCTTCCACCAGGGGCGCTACCGCGGAGCAGTTGTGCGTGCAAGAGCGGAGAAGTTTTTGTTTGGTAAACGGCCAACTCAGCGGGCCTTAGATGAGGAAAATAAATGTGCAATCGCGAAAGAGATCCCAGCAGTTTTCCATAAGGAGAGACGAGTAGTGATCAGAGTTTTATTGAACCTGTGTTTATAGAGTTTATTTGGAAGCGCAAGAAATAGTTTAAACAAATACAGCCCCGAAACGATGTTGAAAGCAACGCCTAGGATTGCTGAAAACATGAAAGAAAGGTTGGAAGAACCAATAACGCTCGAAGAGATTGAATGCGCCATAGATGGTATGGCGTCCCACAAATCGCTTGGAACTGGCGGCTTTAGAGGCGAGTTTTTAAAAACAATTCAAGAGTTCGTCGACCCCTTTTTTTAAAGTTATTCGGGAGACGTACTTTCTCAATGCGTTACCTCCTTCTTCTTTAGAAGCACATACTGTATTGATCTTAAAGACGCCCGATAAGATTCAGGCAAGACGAGTTACCGAAAATCGACCCATTACACTATGTAACGTGGGCTATAAATTTTTTTACGCGAGTTTTGACTAGCAG